CTCGGGTTATTATTAATTTGTATCAAGACTACTTGAACCTACGTGTTTTTATAACATCATAAATGTACCAGTTTGATGTTGCATTTGCATCTTCTTCCGGAGGCAAGGCAAAGCCATCTTAAGGAGTGAAACAGATATTTGTACAAGATGGTACAAGTTTGTGGTTCTCTCTTTTGTATATATTATTTGGCTTAGTTGTTGACTTAGATAAAGATTGTGAGATCCCACACTTGGTTCTGGGTCTGATCATACAGTGTGATATAACATTATTTTTAGACACGGCATAGCCACTCATAGAATGGCTCCGAGTTTATCAAGTACTAACTTTTAGCTCGTAGCTCCGTCATCTCTTGATGGATGTGAGGTCTAATTACAGTTTTGGACTCGGGAGGTTAAACCCTTTTGATTGATATATTTGATCACACCTAAGGTCTCATAGATTAATTTATTCTAATCCTGACTAAAAGAATTTCAATTTGAGGGTAGGATGGTATAGATCCTGATGAGTAATAAAATCTAATCAGGTATACGTGAACCCCTTGCTTGGTATTGCTGGCACACAAAAATATAGCTAATAAAAAGAAAAAGGTTTCATAGATTACTCTAATCCTGCCTAAAATAATTAATTGCTCCAGCTATTGAGGATTCCCTCAGTATTCAGGCTGCCAGTCTTACAGTTTAACATGCAAGGAATATTTTGTGGTGTCACAAGGATTCAAGCTTTGCTCACAGACCTTTACCACAGGGCCAAATCATGCCTGGGTTTTTGTCACTGATTTTATTATTTCTCTTTTATTTGATGCTTTTGTAGTTATTATATTCTAGTGAGGCAAATGTTTACATATTTTTAACCCCCCCTTTATTGATTTCTCCAAATCCTCTTATGCCTCCAAACAATGTTTTAATAAAATAAAACTTTTGTACATTTAAATATTTTCAAAAACAAAACAAAACAAAGATTTAACTGATTTCTGTGAACAATGTTGTCCATGTTAGAGAGATCTGATCATCTCCAGCTACAAACCACCGAAATTTTCTACAAAAACAAGAATTAAAAATAATATTTAAAATTACTCAACAGATGTTAGTAAAAACTTTTAAGTACTTTAGAAACTCAATTAAACTT